ATTCCTACCAGCTGTGCCTCTCCTCCGAGTCCAAGAGGAACGAGTTCACCTTTGTGACCCCCAATATTCAGGTTGCTGACAGTAATCTTAGCAGGGAGAGATCTGAGGCGCCATTCCCAGGTGTAGAACAAACTAATTCTAATGCTGTGAGTGAAATTGGTGGCGGTGGAGAGGTAAGTCCCGTTTCCTGGAACACCTGCATGACCTGTGCCATCGCTGCGCATCGCTGCAGACGCGGGCTGCTTATTTTTGTAATGTGGATATTGCTGCCTTTTACTGTGTGAATCTTCTGTTGATTTCTTACCTTGCAATGTCCTGCATTTCATCTTCCTGAGTCATTATCCTTCCTTTGAAATTCCCCGTTATGCGAAATGGTTGGGGATGGAGCTCCATCAGCTGTGCCAGCTCCTCTGGTGTAGGCGTTTGGCTCGTTTCCTTTTTAGTGCAGTGTTTTTAGAAATGGAACTTAAAGTCCTTGGTTAGGAAATGACGTCATCGGGACCACTATTTTTGTGCTCAGCTCAGGACATTTTCAGGAGTATTGTGCAAAAGGTTAGGCTGTATAATTAAAAAGATGTTCTTTCCATGTAGTAGCAAGCACTCATATTATTATTTTTAAAATAAGATTTTATCATGTGTTTTATAGACATACTATTTTCAGAGGTCTTTGCAAATTATGCTTTACATAAATGTCCAGGAAAGCAGGCTCATTTTACATTTGCTTGTATTAAGACTGCATTTTTTCCTACACGGTATTCCTACATTATGCCATGCTGGTCTAATAGTATTTTGATTCAGGACTAACCCAGCTTACCCAGTTGCTGCATTATTAGGTTCATCATATAAATTTTCAGCTGCAGTGAACTAGTTTAATTCTCTATTCTAAAGGAAGCAAAAGCCAAGCATGACCAAACACGTACCCTTGATTTTAGGAACGCTGATTTTAAGAAAGTCAGAACAATGGTAAGTAAAGTCCCATGGCAAGTGCCTTAATGAGAACGGGAGTCCAAAATGGGTGGGAATTTTTAAAAAAGGAAATTCTAAAGGCCCAATCCTAAACAGTTGCAGCCAGGAATAAAGGTAGAAGACAACCGAAGAAGCTAACGTGGCTTCATGAGGACGTACAGATATCTAAAAGCAAAGAGGACATACATAGGAAATGGCAGGAAGGCCAGGGTGCAGAGGAAGAGCACGAGCACAGAATGTCCAGGATGACATCGGGAAAACAAAAGCTGAGAATGAGCTGAGGGATGCTAAAAGTGACGACGACGACAAAGCCTTCCTCAAACACATCCATAATAAAAGACAGAGGAAAGAAGGGGAGGTCCAACTACTCCATGTGCACGGCAAAATGATCACAGATGACAAAGAAAAGGCAGAAGTGCTCAAATTCTACTTTGGCTCAGTCTTCTCCCAGAAGAGGACCTATGACCTTCCTGATGAAGGGGAAGTAGAAGCTGAAGGAGCAGGACGGAAGTTCAAGATTGATAGACAAATGGTGAAGGATCATCTAATTGGGTTGAATGAGCTCGCAACTGCAGGGCCCAATGAATGCCATCTTGGGGTCATAAAAAACTGGCTGACAAACTCTTAGAATGCCTACTATCTTTGAGAAATCATGCAGAAAGTGCCAGATGACTGGAGAAGAGCTAATGTTGTCCCCATCTTCATGGAGGAAAAAATGGAAGAACCTGGGAACTACAGACCAATCAGTCTGCCAATGATCCCTGGGAAACATCTGGAGCAGATGATAAAGCAGCCAGTCTGCAAGCACCTTGAGGATAATGCAGTGATCATTCAACATCAGTATAAGACTGCATAACTACTCAGCCAGATATTCGACCACTTGAGAAAGATTCAGAAGAAATTACTGCAGAGAGAAAACTGCATCAATTCTATTGTAGCAAATGTGGCCAACAGGCATGTGGCCCTTTAAAGAAATCCTCCTTTGACTGGGAAGATCGAAATAACTTCAGGCAGGTAGCGAACACCTGTTGCCTGGGCAAGGATCTAGAGAGGGAGGTTGCCAGTCAACTCCAGGCTCTCTTGAGGGACACTGATGTTCGGGATCCATTTCATTTGGGCTTCAGGCCTGGGTTCAGCATGGAAACAGCCTTGGTTGCCTTATAATGACCTGTGCCAGGAGCAAGACAGGTAGAATGCAGCCCTGTTGACACTGCTGGACCGATGCCGTTGACCAAGGTGCTCTGCTGGGGCAATGGCCTGAGCTGGGAGCAGGGGCACTGCATTGCAGCGGTTCCACGCCTGTTTCGAGGGCCATCTCCAGAAGATGGTGCTTGGGGAACATGCTCAGCCCCAGGGATTCTCCAGCATGGAGCTCCTTGGTCATCTGTTCTGTCCCCGCTGCTGTTCAGCATCTACAGGAAATGGCTAAGTGTGAGCTCATGTAATGGCGAGGTGGCCAAGCTCACCTGGAGTTGTGGGTTGCGTTGTCGTCGGTATACTGATGATTTTTGATTTTTTAAAATAATTTTTAAATAAATATTCTAAATAAATAAATAAATTTTCCCTTTTCATCATGAGCAGGTGAGGCTGTGGATGTGTGAAACTGGGGCCCAGCTAGGACAGTGGGCTGGATGAGGGCCAGCGAACCGAAGCTCACTCTAGGCAAGAGTGAGGTGCTGTTGGGGTGCGTCTTCTGATCAGTTGGTGGATATTTAACCTCTTCTAGCTGGGGTCGTACTTCCCCTGAAGGAGCAGGTTCATAGCTTGGGGTGCTCACGATCCATTTGGTCACTTGAGGCTCAGGTGGCCTCGGTGGCTTGGCGTGCCTTCTACCGGCTTTGGTTGGTAGCCCAGCTGCGCCCCTCTCTGGACAGAGATAGCCTGGCTTCGGCCGTCTACGCTCTGGTAACCTCCAAATTAGATTACTGCAATGCTCTCTGCAGCAGGCTACCCTTGAAGACAGGTCATCAGCTGCAGAACGGAGCAGCCACATTCAGCCTCGCCGTTCCTGCAGGGAGCAGAAGCAAAGCCAGGGCCGTCTGAACGCTCGGGCCTGGAGGGCACCTGCCCGTGGGGCCCATGCTAATCTGTGCGTGTTAACCCTGGAAAATGGGAACACTTCCAAACTTAACAGTAGCTGTAGTTGTCGTAGGGGCCCCTGTACACTGCTTTGCCCGGGGCCCATAAGCAAAGCACGTGCTGTGTACGTGTGTACGTGTGTGTGTGTGTGGGAGAGAGGGAGAGGGAGAGGGAGAGGGAGAGGGAGAGGGAGAGGGAGAGAGAGAGAGAGAGAGAGAGAGAGAGAGAGTTGCTTGCAGATTTGGCCAGGGTGAAAGAGAGATGCAGGGAGGGGCAGGCTGAATCTTGTCAGACCTTCAGCAAACTGCAGTGCCAGCCAAGCATCTGGGGAGGGTGGCATGGGCAACAACTCGGATGCAGCCGTAGGCTTGGTGCCTTCACGTTTAGGGCTCCAGACCCCATAAATTAGTTTTAAAGGCTCAGGTGCAGCGCTGGGCTCCGTACAGCTTTGTAAATGTCCGAGTTGGTATCTTAGCTCTCTGTGTATTTAGTTTAGCTCTTGCCAGTGGTTTCTGGTGAGGTGTAGAGAGTGCCGCTTCAGTTTCTGTGGATGGGGGGCACTGGCTCCTGTGAATTCGGAGTCCTGATTCCCCTGCTGCCTGTCCCCCACAGCCACCCCACCCCCCACCCCGGGACCTTGGACGTGGTCCTTCGGAAAGGCACCAAAAGCCTCTTCCGCATCCTGCCATTGCTTTCCAATAGGCAAGCAAAGACGCCTTTTCATCCAATATTGTATACAAGTTGTGCACCCAACACACCGTTTACAAACATTTTCAGTCTACAGGTACGCGGAAATCATTTTGTAAGAATGAACTGAATTTATCATGTAAATGGTCTGTGCCTTTAAGCTGCGAACAGGTCTTGTGTGGTTGCGTGGTTGTGTGTGCACGCCTGTGTGCATGAGAAAGAGAGCAGGGGAGAGGGAGAGAGAGTGTGTGTGTGCATATATCTGTTTATGTATGGCCAGTTCCACTTCTTTATATACGGCAACTTTGGCAGTGTTATCTCTTTTGCTGGTCTTTGGAGCACAAAGAAAATCAGATGAAAATGATTTTTGGTTTAGGGTAGTTTTGTGCCAGCAAAGCTTTGGGGATCAAGTAATATTGAGATTAAATACACTAATAAAACTTTCTCCAGATGAATCGGTCACCCTCAATTTACCATATACTTGGCTAACTGGCCTCATTTAGTTGATCAACACATCACTAAATATCGATAATAATTAGAAAGTGGATTTGTTGTTGTGATGTTAGATTCTTTATACTGTTATATTAACCAAGGCTTGTTGGTTTAGCCATGGGTCTGGTCATATGTAATGCTAACCCTAGTTTTTTTCTGCTGGGTGATTAAAAAACATGGTATCTTTTCTGGTCCTTGGGTTGTTTGCTTCCCTCTTCCTTCACCTGTATTCCAACTGCTTTTGCAGCATTAAAGTACTTACATGCAAAGCGGCTGGAGGGTCTTTCCCACTCTTGCCTGCTGCCTCTGTAGCCTGGCAAAAGAATCCATGAATAACCCACAATGATGAGTTCACATTTAATGACAACCTATGGTTTAAATAGCTGACAGTTCACAACCCAACAAAAATTGGGTTCTCTTTGTGAGATATTCATGGGTTCAGATAATATTTCTGAGTTCACATATAACCACAAACCACAATTCAACTGAAAATGGTTTAATTTAATGACTTGCTATTACTTGAAAACCAGGTCAAGAATCATTGTGCATATGCATAAACAAACTGTGGCTTGTTTTTCCTGCTTCTGGCTTGTTTCTCTCCCATCCATTTTGCCAACCCTCTGGGCAATTTTCATTTTCATGCTTCTTTTGCTGGGCACTTCTGTTTCAGGTAGGGTAACAACACAAACAAGCCAGGTATAAGCCACAGTTCTGGGTTCAGACATTAAAACAAGCCAGTTTTCATAAACCATTAACAACCCATGGTTTCTCCATCAGTTTCCAGCTGGTTAACAAACAGTGGTTTCATTGTAGGGATGAGTTCGGACATGACAACAAGCCAGATTCAGCAAATCACACCATGGTTTAGGGTTCATAGAATCATAGAATAGTAGAGTTGGAAGGGGCCAAGAAGACCATCAGATCTAACCACTTGCTCAATGTGATTTCATGTGACTTAAAATCACATGAACCCATAAATCTTCCAATAAAAGGCTTTTTATGTATTATGCACTGTCCAAAAAGTTCCAAAAATTCGGGAAAATACTGGGCAACATGCGAAAATGTTTGATTATTTTTAATCAAACATTAGAATTCCTAAGTTCAGATTTCTTTCATTGTGTGTGTGCTCATACCGTGGATTGACACAGAGAAAAATTAATCTTATGAAAGTAGTTTTAACAGACATGCTGGTCATAGGGATTCTTTTGAATAGAGAGCAGCCACTTTTACAGAGGGAAGGGATAAAAAGAAAGGACTTCCCTAAATGAGTCACGTTGTATAAAAATCCTTATAGTTTTAGTTAGTAACATATACTACCTGGAAAGTATATTACTGTTTGAGTTGAAATTCCCTTAGTTCCTGGTAAACTGAATCAAGTTTACTTATATACTGATCACTGTAACTCACTATAGTTTTCATAGCAGAATAAAATGTGGCATGTGACCTGATATGAATTTCAGTAAAAATAGGTAGTGATGCCTGTGGATTGACAGAGCAGGACATTCCATTCAAACACCAAGAAACGGTGAGGATGAAATTTAGTGACAGTGTAGATTGATTGGTTGGTTGGTTGGTTGATTGTTTTGTTGAACACTAGATAAAGAAACAACTGTATTTATAAAATCAGATATAGCATGGAAATGCAAACATAACAGAGCGTTGTGCAATTACTGACTAAGACGCCGAGTGTCGCTGTTCACCAACCAAGCTAAGAAATGCGATGAGCAATTCGGCCTTCCCGAATCAGCATTTTCAGGGCTGAATAAGCTGAGACATCAGCCACTTCCCAAAATTCCTGCACCGGGAACCTCAGCTGCAAGGCAGCCTCCTTGGACAGGGTTCCTTTGCCATTTATGGCACCTTTCGGGTGAATCTCCTTAGTGGATTCTCAGAAAGAAGGCATGGCAAGAGCAAAAGGGAGACAGGAAACCAAAGGCAAGATCACAATGAAAACCTGCAGAAGGGGAGTTGCCTGCTTCTTTCTCCTGGTGAACATCTGCCAAGCTGCTGCCAAGCAGGTCCATTACTCCATTCCCGAGGAAACCGAGAGAGGCTTTTTCGTGGGCAATATTGCACGAGATCTGGGGCTGGACGCAAAGGAGCTCTCGGGCCGCGGGATCCGCATTGTTTCCCCAGGTAGGACCCCCTACTTTGCTCTGAATTACCGGAATGGCCATCTGCACACCACGGAGAGGATAGACAGAGAGCAGATCTGTGGCCAGATGCAGAAGTGTGTCTTGGAATTCGAGGTGATCATTGGGGCTTCTATGAAAATTTATGGCGTCGGCGTTGAAATCACAGATATCAACGATCATGCCCCCACCTTCCAGTCAGAGAAACTGGTGCTAAATGTCAGTGAGAACACTGCCGTGGGGTCCCAGTTTCCCCTCCTGGAAGCTCAAGATCCGGATCTGGGAAACAATTCCCTGCAGGGATACAAACTCAGCAGCAGCAGCTATTTCTCTCTGGTTCTGAAAACATCAGTTAAAGGCAAACAATTTGCAAAACTAGTATTGGAAAGACCGCTAGACCACGAGGAGGAAAAAGTTCATCACCTCATCCTTACAGCATATGATGGCGGTAGCCCTGTCAGAAGTGGCACAACTGAGATTCAAATTTCCGTCCTGGATGTGAATGACAACGCACCCATTTTTAGCCAGCCGCTCTACGAAGTGACTGCTAGGGAGGGTTTGTCATTAGGGACCACGGTGGTTACGCTGAATGCCACTGACCTGGATGAAGGAACCAACAGAGACCTGAGGTATTCATTTGCAAAAAGCACGGGGAGCGCTGCAGAAAAATTCCACCTGGATGAAAACACAGGGGAGGTAACCCTTAGAGGAAGCTTGGACTATGAGGACTCCACCCACTATGAAATTCAGGTCCAGGTCCAGGATGGCGGCGGACTCTCGGACAGGTCGACGCTCACGGTGTTTGTCACTGATGTCAACGATAATGCCCCCAAACTGGAGATCACGTCACTGATCGGCTCCATCCCCGAAAACTCCCCACCAGCCACAGCGATAGCCCTCGTACATGTGCAAGACCGAGACTCGGCAGAGAACGCGGAAGTCACCTGCTCCATCCCCAGCCACCTCCCCTTCCAACTGGCAAAGTCCTACAATAATTATTACAATTTGCTGACGACGAGAGTGCTAGACAGGGAGCAGGTGGCCACCTACAACGTCACCGTCACAGCCACGGACCACGGGACGCCCCCGCTCTCCACGTCACTCAGCATCCCCCTGGAGATCCTGGACACGAACGACAATCCGCCCCACTTCCTGCAATCGGTTTATGTTTCTTACCTGATGGAGAACAACCCCAGAGGGGCCTCCATATTGTCCCTGGAGGCAGAAGATCCAGACTGGGCAGAAAATTCCAGAATAACTTTCTCCATCTTGGAGGGAAAGCTCAATGCCTCCCCAGTATCTTCCCACCTCTCCATTAACTCTGAGACAGGCGTTGTTTATGCGCTGCACTCCTTCGATTATGAAGAGGTTCGGGAGATCAGCTTCCGGGTGAAGGCCCAGGACGGGGGCTCCCCACC